GTGTGGATTAAATGAGATGAATCATGTAAAACGCTTATTAGGACAGTGCCTGGCACATAGTAGGCCTTCAACAAATGCTGCTATTATTAAGAAAGGGCTCAAGAAGCTTCAAATATAATATTACAAGGCTTCTTTGATGAGTCACAGATGCTCCAAGGCTAGAACTAATAGCATAAACATGGTAGAACTGTGCTCTAGAGAGTTTTCAGTGGCTGATTTTTTTTTTTTTTTGGAAGTAGATCACCAGGACTTTCTTTCGAGGTGACGTTGAGTGGACTTGAACCCCTAATACTTAGCAAAATGCTCAGATAAATGCTTCACATAGGCTGACCATAAAAGCATTTACAGAAAAGGCAGTGATGTTGGTTCTGTTTACTGAAGGAGCATTATACAAGGAGAGGAAACCAATGATGGAGGAAAGTGGTCGTGAGTTGTGGCAAGAACTTAAGACTTAGTCATGCAAATTTGGCATCACATTTGCCCAACAGAAATGCATACAAGTGTAGCTAATCTAGGGTTATGATCATGGCCTTGACCACGAGACTTGGGCTGCTTCCTGCGGGATCCAGAGCTAGGCCTGACCACTTGGGCGGTGCTCTGACCAGCTGCCACCAGCACCCTGCAACACTGAGGGGGTGATTTTATCACTGGAATATCATCTCATTCATCCAGTGTTTCTCAGATTGGTCCCTGGGAATATCAGTTCCTCTGGATGTCAGGAAGACTCACTATCAAGTCTATTCCAACTCATAGCGACCCTGTAGGACAGGGTAAAACTGCCCTGTAGGGTTTCCAAGGCTGTAATCTTTATAGAAGCAGACTGCCACGTCTTTCCCGAAGAGCAGCTGGTGGGTTGGAACTACTGACATTTAGGTTAGCAGCCGAGCGCTTAACCACTGCACCACCAGGGCTCCTTTGGATGTCAGTAAATGGCCAAACCAACCTGTAAAACTCTGAGTTAAAGAAACCAGACTCTGCAAGAGGGGTGGTAGAGTATTAACGTTTTCTAAACCTTTTACCTATGTTTGACCATGGAATTCTTTTTTCTCCAGAATAACTTGCAGGACTAATGCTTCGTGGAACATGCATTTGGAGTGGTTCCCTAATCTCCTCCAAATGTAGTCCATAGAGGGTCAGGTGTGACAACAGAGACCAGTGAGGAGGGCATCATGGTCACTGTGGCACAAGAGGATAGAGACTTGGGGCAAGGAGTGGTGGGGTTGGTGAGTCAGGTAGATGGATTTGGGATGTAAGAGGTAGGACCAGCAGGGCTTACTGATGTTCTTATTGTTGTTAGGTGCGTTGAGTTTATTTTGACTCATAGCAGCCCCATGTGACAGAGTAGAACTGCCCCATAAGGTTTTCTAGGCTGTAATCTTTATGGGAGCAGATTGCCAGGTCTTTCTCCTGCACAGGCTGATGGGTTCGAACCGCTGACCTTTCCAATAGCGGCCTAGAGCTTAACTGTTGCATCACTAGGGTTCTGATGGCAACCACTTAATAAAACATTTGGCATATTGAACTATGTTGAACTGAATTGCGTTTGTATCTCCGTGATACCAAATCAGCCACCTGGAAAGGGAAGAATCCAGTCCCTGAAACAATTCTTTTACCTGCATGAGGCAAGTGACCTGTACCTTCTGAGTATCGCTGGAGTGGCCAGTGGCTTTGACCTCCCTTCAGGATGCACCAGACTCTCTGGGGTGTGAGGCTCCTTGTTTATTTACCTGTCAGAGTCCTTTCTCTCTGTCTACCTTCCCCCCCTTTTTTAAAATTAGAAAACCAGCTGCCCTCCAGAGCGTATCAGTCTATCATGTTTGGAGCCTGCCTCCATCCAGAGCTGGCCCTTCCAGTTTCCAAAGTTTATTGTTAATGAAAACTGCATACAGGCTGAAATCCCTGGCAGGGGCCGAAGTGGCGGGGTACACTGAGGCCAGCAGACACCCGAGCAGCCAATTTTATCTGGCTGTTCTCTCCTCCCCCGCCTCCCTGCCCGCCTCCTTCCCCCTTAATTTTATCAGAGACTTTTGGCTGGACTTGAAGGAGCCGAAAAGGAACTGGAGGGGCCTGAGCTTCTAGCAGTCAATGACAAGGTATAGGAGGACAGGGGAACCAGGCCTGGGGCAGAGTCCAGTTCACCTCATTTCTTCACTGAGTGTGTCTGTGTGTTTGGCTCGGTGCGGGGCTCTGGGATCCAATAATATTGATACCAACAATAGCAGCCAACATTACTGAATGTATGCTGTAAGTGCTGGCCTTGTTCTGTGTATTAAACATACCTGATATCAACAACTCCTGCTAGCAGTTCTAAGAAGTACTTAGGGATATTAGTCACGTTTTGCTGTTGGCTAAATTGAGGCACAGAGAGGGCAAGCAACTTCCCCAGAGTCACACAGCAATAGGCAGCAGATCCAGGAGGCTTACTTCGGAGTGTTTGATCCCCAGACTAAAGTTTTTAGCTTTCTCTCTAGGAGCTCACAGTCCAGCCAGAGCAAGTGGATATGTAAACCAACAAATAATTGCCACACAGTTTGAATGATGGAAGTGTTGATTTGTATAGTGAGAGGCAGAAGGGGGCAGTGAAAAAGCCAAATTTGAATACCGTCTTGACTGATGAGTTGGAGATTCACTGGTAGGTAAGACAGGCAGGGGTAAAGACAGGTAAGAGCAGGGGTGAAGAGCAAGGAGGTGGGAACCAGCTGTGTGTGTGTGTGTGTGTGTGTATGCGCGTGTGCCGTGTGTGAGATTGTGAGAAACGGCAAACAGTTCTGCACTACAGCACGTCGGGAGTCTTAGGGGCATGGTAGAAGCTAATGAGATGAAGGGAGGTAGGCAAAGGTCCTTCAGGGAGGTCTTGGGTACTCTCCAAAGGTTTCTGTACCGGTATCCCTTGTTGTTTTTGAGCGCAATTGAGTTGATTTCTGACTCGTAGCAACCCTGTATGACAGAATAGAACTACCCCATAGGGTTTTCTTGGTTGTAATCTTTATGGAAGCAAATCTCCAGGTCTTTTCTCTTACAAGGCAGCTGTTGGGTTCAAACTGCCAACTTTTCAGTTAGCAGCGAGCGCTTAACCATTGTGCCACCAGGCTCTCTTGGGGGTGATAGATTTCGAAACAATTATTGTTTATTTTGTCTTTGCTCAGAGGACAGCTTTTGTGAAAGCCCAAAGTATAAAACAGATAAACGGAGTGGCTTTAGTTGGAGTGGTGCTGAGGATCCAGAACCTATCCTACGAGGACTCCCCTCACTCCATCTCCATGCATGGGCCCCTGGGCATCTTCCCAGAACCCCAGAGACTTAGTAGAATTTGAGCATGGCTGCTAGAGAGCATCAGGGTTGGGGAGAGAGAAGCATTTAAAGGTTGCAGGCATTTCAGAAAATGACATCCATGGGGGTGTGGAGGTCGATGAGAAGGGGCTGAGGCTGGAAGCAGGGAACCAGCTTGAGGTGATTGCAGTGGTCCTGTGGTGTCCTGGCTCTCATCCACATTGGAAGCCAAAGACAGCTGATTTCAGCCAGCTCCTTGGAAGCTGTGTGGTCTCATGGCCCACTGCCTGGTTTCCAGAGCTCATCTGCCTGGGTTTGAATCCTGACCCTGCTGATTGCGGGCTCTGCAAGTTTCTTAACCTCTCTGTGCCTCAGCTTCCTTCCTCATCTGCCAGACATTAAAATTATGAATATTTCCTTCATTGTTTGTTGTAAGGTTTAAATGAGTTAATACATTTAAAGTACTCAAAACCTTCCATGAGCCTGGTGACTAGTAAGTGCTCTATAGTATTTACTATGATTTTCATATATATATATATGTATGTATGTATATATAGTATATGGAGCCTTGGTGGCACAGTGGTTAAGAGCTTACTGCTTTTAACAAAAGGCTAGCAGTTCAAATCCACTAGCCACTCCTTGGAAACCGTATGGGGCAGTTCTGCTCTGTCCTATAGGGTCACTATGAGTTGGAATTGACTCGATGGTAATTGGTTTTTGTTTTTTTATATTATATATATGCATTTAATATATTTTGAGTTCACTCATTTAACAAGTATTAATCGCACCCCTTTGGTATGCCAGGTATCGTTCTGGATGTTGGGGATACGGCAGTGAATGAAGTAGACCAAGTCTCTGCCCTCGTTTACATTCTAGTGGGGGCGTCCAAATAAATGCATAGGATAAATGTATAATAGGGCTAAGAAGCATCCACAGGATCATGTAGGACCTTGTGGGCCACATTAGGAACATTGGGTTTTATTTTGAGTGGGAAGGGAAGTCTCAAAGGTTTTGAGCAAAGAGGTGACAAGATGAGCCACCCTGTATGAGGTCAGAGTGGCTTTGTTAGATCCAGGTACCTGGCCCACATCAAATGGTTCATAAATGGTAGTTGTGTGTGTGTGTGTGTTTGTGTTTCGAAATCCTCGCAACTCAAAGTGTGGCCCACAGACTAGAAGTATCTAAATCTACTGGAGCATGTTATTGTTGTTGTTAGTTGCTGTTGAGTCAATCCCAGCTCATGGCAACCCCAGAGTGGAAGTGCTCCGTAGGGTTTTCAAGGCTGTGACCTTTCAGAAGCAACTCACCAGACCTTTCTTTCAAAGTGTCTCTGGGTGTGTTTGAACTGCCAACCTTTCGGTTAGCAGTTGAGCGCTTAACTGTTTGGGCTACCCAAGGAGCATGGTAGTGTTTGTCATTATCCATTATCCTGACCACAGGAGAGCTATTCTGGTGGGAGGGTTTGTGAGAAACAGCCTTGGGAGAGGGAGTGGGGTCTCAGAAAAGAGAGCCACATCTCCCTTCATGTCGCAAAGGTGTGTCCGTAACAATGATGCTGATGTCATTGCCCTCCTGGCCGGGGAGCTTGCTCAGCACTTCCTTGTGATGTTGAATGGCCTGATGTCTGTCCTGCTCAGCGACATCTCTGTCGTCCTCTCTGGCACTCCCTGTAGTCATAAGTGAGCTTGTTGGATAAACTGGACGTTTGTTTATTGATGTTTCCCCCACAGTGTTTGAAAACAAAGATAAGATTGTGATCATCATGGAGTATGCGAGCAAAGGGGAGCTGTATGATTACATCAGCGAGCGGAGACGCCTCAGCGAGAGGGAGACCAGACACTTCTTCCGACAGATCGTCTCTGCCGTGCACTATTGTCACAAGGTACGGCAGAGCCTGGCCACAGCTTTCGCTGCCAGTGGTTTTGCTGGCACAACATGGTTCTTCTCATATTATAAAGGTGCTATCTGTCTTTGTAGTATATATGCAGAGTTTATAAAATAGAAAGAGGATAATCACCATCACCTGTAATTCCAGAATCCAGGGGTAACCCAGTATTGACATTTTTGTTTGTTTCCTTTTAATCTTCCTCTTCCCTGCATTTATTTTCTATTTAAATATTTTATTTTGAACAATTTTAGATTTACACAAAAGCATGAAAGATAGTACAGAGAGTTCCCATAACACCATTCACTGAGTCTCCCCCAGTGTTAACCTCTTATATGACAATGGTACATTTGTCAAAACTGAGACACCAACATTGGAACATTACTATTAACGAAAATCCAGAATTCATGCAGATTTCACCAATGTTCCCACTAATGACTGGAGAATCACACTGCATTTTACTTGCATTTATTTTTACAAAGTTGTGTCTTGCTTTTTTTTTCACTCAATATTTGAATCTAAACATTTTCGTATCTTAATGAAAATTCTCTGTAAATGTTATGTTAGTATGTGGTGATTGTTGGATATTTAGGCTGGTTCCAATTTCTGGTTACTAGAAATAGTGTCAACATCTTTATATATAAATCATCTTCTCATTTGAATAGTTTACTTAAGAGAGATTCTAGAAGTGGAACTGTTGGATGAAAGGGTCTGAACTGTGGTATACTCTACCGTGGTATACTCTTGGCACCTTTCCTTCCTAGGTATGTACACAGGTTACCTACATACACATACATTTTATTGCAACACAACTCAAGGGATGTGCTCATAATACAGCCACAGTGTAGGTACCCTTCGTCTCTGAAGAAGGAAATACGCAGATAATTCCAAGCCATACTTCAGTCATTGTTGTTATTAATCATTTCAGCCTTATGTTTTCCTCCCAGCCTTTTCCCCGGAACTGTTTTAGTTGGTTGGAACAGTCATTCACTTTGAGATCAATAGCTTCTTGAAACCCAACATGGCATCAAAATAGAGTCAGCTTCTTTTTTCAAATGACCACAGCATGGAACTTTCTGGTTAGTTAAATATTCTCTTTAACTCAGTTGGTCTGAAATGATTACCAGTAATCGGAAGACTATGCAGTATTCAAACCCTTACCCATATGAACATCATTTGACCTCTCTATGATGAATCAAAAGGCACCGATGAGTTAGATCATACAGTATTTTATCGTCAGGTATCATTGTAAAGTACTACAGACCATATTCTCATTATTTGAGGTATGTCAACATTTGGATTCTGTATGAAAAGGGCTTTATTAGACTCATTCCATCTTAGTGTGAAAACCAGGAATGCAACGGTGGAAGTCAAACTGCTCCCAATACTTAAAACTAAACAAAATCAGGTCCCTTTTCTTCCAGATCTTTCCTCCTGGAGGCTTGGTTTGTGCATTTCTGAATTCAAAATACATCCTTTAAGGCTTGGCTTAGAAAAAGAGAAGTAGAAATACATGTTTTCATCTCTCTCGCTCCAGTCAGCACTTTCAGAGATATTAGGAACTGTCAAACTCAAAAGGAAAATAAACAGTAAAGAACCAACTATAAACATGCAGACTCTGAACTAAAAAGAAATCTTGAATGGAAGACAAAGCATTTCTAGCCAGTTGGTTTGCTCAAAAGAGCAACTTCAACTGCAAATGTCTTGAAGCTGAATGATGTCCAGAACCTATCCCCTGCTATTTATCTGCTCAGCCCCAAGCAGCTGGTTCTTTCAGTGCCACCCTTCTTCCCATGCCCACCCACCCCCAAAAAGATAATTGGGTTTTTAACAAATTGAGCTTGTGAGTTGTTGCTGTCATATAGACCCATAGCCTATAGGTTGATGGCTCCTTTCACCTTTCAGCTGTCCGCCTGCCTGTCATTGCAGCTCAGCCTCCAGCTTTGCCTGAATGGGAAGGTCACACAGTGTGGCAATGACCTGTTTGGTCAGGCCGGTGGCTACGGTCTCATCAGCCTGCTCCTGTCCTCTACTTTACACGCTGCACTGTGCCCTGCTGAGCAGAGAGGGACTTTCAGAATCCTTCCTGGTTGCTCAGGAAATGCCCATGGGCACAGCGGCGGTTCGGTGGTAGAATTCGTACCTTCTATGGGGAGACCTGTATTTGAATTCCAGCCAGTGCATCTTATGCATGGCTACCATCTGTCTGTCAGTGGAGGCTTGCATGTTGCTATGATGCTGAACAGGTTTCAGCAGAGCTTCCAGCCTAAGGCAGACTAGGAAGGAAGGCCTGGTGATCTACTGCTGAAAATCAGCCAGTGAAAACCCTGTGGATCACAATGGTCTAATTCCGTTGTGCAGGGGGTCACCATGATCTGGGGCTAACAACAACAACAAAGAAAAACGCCCCTTGGGGGCCCTGGTTATCCTTGGGACTGATATGAGTCAGTTTCATGGGTCAGAATAGATGGGACCAGTCCCCTTTCCAGTGCTGGGGAGGCAGACAGACGGCCAGATAAGCAAGGCCTGTACGCCTCCCATTCTGAGGCCCCAGCAGAGGAATCTGCTTCTTCCTCGGGACTCCTATCACAGACAGACATTGTTTGCCGCTGCTGCCTGGGACGATATTGCTTTCACACAGTGGAGTTACATTCCGACAGAGAATCCCCCTGCTGTTTTACAGGCTCTGGGGGAGAACGGATTCCAATCATTTTTCCCTTAACCACACAGCAAATGACTAATGCTCTCCTGTCGCTGGTCGCTGGCGGGAGCATCGTGACAGCGAGAGCAGCCCTGAAGGATGGAGGCGAGGACCACCGGGCTGGCGCGTTTCTTTAATCTGTCAGACGTTTCCTTTTGCTCACCCTTCTCCTTCCTCTTTCTCTCCCTTTCTCATCCCAACCACTCCCATGTAATTCCCTCCCTGTCTTCTCATTTCAGAATGGTGTGGTCCACCGGGACTTGAAGCTGGAAAATATACTGCTTGATGACAACTGCAATATTAAGGTAAAGCTCTTGCCTGGTTGATTGATGTGCAAGGCCTGAGTATTGCAGCCGGGTGGGGGCTTAACTTGCTTCAAGCTGCAGCCTGGAAATAAGGCGTCCACTTCCTTCCCTGGCAGGCAGATGGGGAGAGTTGCTTGGCTTGAGTCCTTCAGTTCAGTTCAATCAGTTACATTCAGCAAGCATTTATTGACCTCGGACTACATGCCAGACACTGTTGTTCTTGCTGGGAATGAACGAGATGCCCAAGATGCAGTTCCTGCCCTCAGGAAGCTCCCAGTCTACAATCAGCACCATAAAAATATGTGTAACAACTAACATGTATTTCAGGCTTTTATACTTTGCCTGATATCATTTACACACAATCTTGACAACAGTCATTTGAGATGGGAACTGTTATTTTGTTGCTTACTGTGGACTCATCACCAGGAAGGACCAGTCGCTAGAAAATGATGCTATGTTTGGTAAAGTAGAGGGTCGTCAAAAACAAGGGAAACCCTCAATGAGATGCATTGGCACAATACCCACAATGATGGGCTCAATAAATGCTTGCTGAATGTAACTGATTGAACTGAACTGAGGGACTCAAGCAAAGCAACTCTCCCCATGAAGATGGGGCAGAACGGGGCAGCGTTTCGTCCTGTTACACATAAGGTCGCTATGAGTCAGTGTTGACTCCATGGCAACTAACAACAACAACATTTATATCATTTCAAAGATAGGGAAACTGAGCCACAGAGAAGTTAAGTGACTTCCTGAGGTAGCAGTGGTAAGTAGTGGAATTGGGATTTGCATTGATGTCTTTGTAATTCATGAGACCAAGTTCAAACCACTATGCTTGATTTGCTAGTAGGACCCTACATTATTTTAGAGATGGAACTCTTTCTCTGGCTACTTTTCTCTCCCCTCCCCATATCTCTTGCTTCTCTCTTCCAACCCCTCACCCTGGAAACCAGCCTTGGAACTGGGAAGCTCACTGAAAAGATGATGGTGTTTGCTGTTGGGAAATGGCAGAGCGTTCACTTTTACGGAGAGTATTATTGCTGGCTGCTGCTGGAGCTGGGGAAAGCTTTCCTGGCCGATAGGGTTCAAGTGCCTCCCACAGAGCACTCTGAATGGCCTTTTGATCACGTCTGCAAAATAAGCAAATACGGTTTCAAAATAAACAGAGCTCGCCGCATGGGTTTCATTATGAAATGGCCTTAGTACTCCTGGTACCGGGGGAGCCCTCTAATTGGCCGCTGATGACGTTAGTAGCTCATCCTTGGTCCCTGGGCTAAGCATGGGAATGACCTTGCATCTTCCTCTTTTGTTGACTATTTCCTTGCTTGGAAGGATGGAATTGCTTTGGTGTCTGGATTCTCTTTGCTGATCATGGTGGCAACTATTAGTGACCGTCGTCCTTTGGAGAGACCCCTGGAAGCCATGTCTCAGTGACCTCTTCTTGCAGGGTGGTCAATCCAGAGTTTCTCCATTTTTGGCAAAGTGGCTGAATTATTCTAGAAGGAACACTGACTATAGAGTTAGAAAATCTCGGAGTATGTGACTTGCTAGTTGCTTGACATTGGGAAAGCCACTTAGCCCATTTCCTCATCTGTTAAATGGGGTAACAATAATACCCACAGGCTTATTTTGAGAATTGAATGAAATACTCTATGTTTAGCTTTATGCAGTGCTGAAAAAAAAAAAAAAAAAGCTGCCATCAGGTTGATTCCAACTCATGGTGACCCCATGTGTGTCAGAGTAGAACTGTGCTCCATAGGTTTTTCACTGGTTGAATTTTTGGAAGTAGATCACCAGACTTTTCTTCCAAAGCACCTCTGGTGGACTTGAACCTCAGCCTGTGGATTAGCAGCCGAGCACGTTGACTGTTTGCAACCCCCTAGGGACTCCTATGCACTACTACCAAAAAACCAAACCCATTACTGTCGAGGCGATTCTGACTCATAGCAACCCTATAGGACGGAGTAGAACTGCCCCATAGGGTTTCCAAGGAGCACCTGGTGGATTCGAACTGCAGACCTTTTGGTTAGCAGCTGTAGCTCTTGTGCAAATGGTTCAGGGTTGAGAGCAGTGGCTTTGGAGTTGGATAGCCTGGGTTTGAGTTGCAACACTGGCCCTTACTAACTGCAGGATTATAGACAGATTATTCACCCTATGTAAGCCTCAGTTTCCTCATCTGTCAAGGAGGGATGCCAGTTCCTGTTGCTGGGGGTTGCTATGTATTCATTCTTTTGTTGAGTATTTCCTGAGCAGCTACTGCGTGCCATGCCCGGTGCCCAGTCCTGGGGAGCCAGTGACCACCACGAGGCTTTTGGACAGTATTATAGATGGAGCCCTTAAGACTTAACTACTAAGATGTGAAGAACCTGCTTCAATGGCTGCCCACTGGAGAGAGGGAATTGAACAGAGTGTCAGCTGCTCCAAGGTGCCTGAGCCCTGGGGAGTAGTGGACAGGCTGTGGTTAGAGAATTGGGTCCTGGTCTGAGGGCTACATTCTAAGAGTGTGTGTCATTAACCCTGTGGATTTCTCTCCAGATTCTTCCTGCCACCTGCCCCCAGAGCTAAATGTAGTCTTTACAAGGCCTGGAATGTGAGCCTCTCGCCTGGGGATTGGGTCCTGTGGTACAGTGTGACCTCCTGGTCCCGTGACGTAGTCTCAGAAGTGATAAGGCACATAGCTTTCTGCAGAGTCATAAAATTCCCAGTGGAGGAAAAGAATGGTTAGAATTCTGAAAGCAATTGTGCAGGGAACAATGGGGCAGAAGCTTAGGAGAACAGCTCATTTTCATAAGCAACAGTCCTTCAACCCTGGATTCCTATCCATTATATAGGGAAGTGGTTTACACATAGAACATTATAAAAATTAAGATCTTGGTCATGTATTTTCGTTTGGCTTTTCCTTATGAATTTCTACTGCTGGCATTTCCTAAGGTCAAACACACATACACACACACCCCAAACAGACACCAAAACCTTTCCATTCTCAACCAGTTGCCGTGAGTTGATCCTGACTCATGGCGACCCCATGTGTGTCAGAGTAGAACTGTGCTCCATAGTGTTTTCAGTGGCTGATTTTTCAGCAGTAGATCACCAGGCCTTTCTTCTGAGGTACCTCTGGGTGGGCTTGAACCTCCAACCTTTCAGTTAGCAGCCAAGTGCCTTAACCATTTGCACCATGCAAGAGCTCCTCCCATTCTCAGAACCCTTAAATTCTTCCTTCCCTTTGTTCAAGGAGTGCTGCTTGGATCTGAGAATGAATCCTAGAGCTTGAAAGAACCATGAGGGTCATTTTCCAACCCCTCATTGTAATGATTATGATCCAGCAAGTCTAAGTGGTATGCCCAAGATCACACAGTGAATCAGTAACAGACTGTATCATTGTGCCTTTGTTTCCCTACTGTGTAGCATAGTACTTGGTACACAGCAGGCACTTAAGAGATGTTTGTTTTTGGAGTGAAGGAATGAAGAGCCAGGATTAGAACTTACATTTTTTATTTCAGACAACTTCTCTTTTCATCATCTCACACCCACTTTTCAAAGTTTTTTCAAATACGTTTCAGCTGGTGTCGATTTGTCTTCCGGCTGTATATTCTCAGCTCTTCCTGACTCAGCATTTTGCTGGGACATATTTAGAAAGGGCACTTGCTGACAAAGGCGGGCAGACACATGGCCACAAGCTGGCCTCCATGTTCAAGAGAGCCCGTATTATCGGCGTCTGGCCTAGGAGAGGCATTGACACCGATAGCCTCTTTCCAACCAACGGGACATAAGCATTGAGGTTCTGCTCCAAAGTCTCCTCTGGTATCTCTCTAAATGGGGGTTCCCCCTTCCACCTTTAAAGCATGGACGGCTTTTGCCTGGGAAGCCTATCCAAAAGTTAGCAGTTTAAGCTTGTCACGTCGCTACAGTCTTGATGTGAGCCATGTAGCTTGTTCCTCTCCCCTTTGCTGCCTGATGTTGATTTGCAAAAAGCACATGTGGAATTGGAAGTTATTTATCTGGCCCCTGTGAGAGGGTGTGCCTTCTAAAAATATTCACACAGTCGTCGGCAGAAAGAATGAGAGCAATGTGCCTCTTTGGGCTGCATTCCGGACTTGGTGGAAGCATGTCTACTAAAATAGACACCCGGCATAACATTAATTTGCAATTAATAAAAACGGGCCAGATTCACATCCTACTCTCTGGGAGAATGGAATGCCGGCAATTCCCATAGAAGGCTCCTGTAAAAATGCCTCACAATCAGAAGAGGTCCAGGCACCAGGGTCAGCAGACCTCCTCAAAGAGGGCTGGGAAATTGATGAGTTCCCAGAGCTCAGAGAAGAGGGGCGCTGGGGAAACGGCCTGTTGCCCCCCATGACAGTAGCAATGTGGCTGTTGAGGATAAGAAAAGAAGCTTTGAATGGCCAGGGCCAGGAAGAAACCTCTGGGGCTTAACAAGACCAACTGGGTCAACTCAACATCATGGGCCTCTGGGCTTTGATCATATGAATGTGAGGACTCTGCATTCACGCACTAATTCATTCATTCATTCATTTGTTCATATATATATTCATATGTTGTTGTGCGCCACTGAGTCGATTCCAACTCACAGCGACCCCATGTGACAGAGTAGAACTGCCCTGTAGGATTTTCTTGGGTGTAGTCTTTATGGAAGCAGATTGCCAGGGCTTTTCCCTGCAGAGTTGCTGGGTAGGTTCAAATTGCCAACGTTTCAGTTAGCAGCTAAGCGCCTAACCATTGCTATCAAAACCCATTGAGTCGATTCCGACTCATAGCGACACTATAGGACAGAGTAGAATTGCCTCATAGGGTTTCCGAGGAGTGGCTGGTGCATTCGAACTGCTGATCTTTTGGTTAGCAGCTGGCCTCTTAACCACTAGGACTCCTCATATATTTATATATGTAAATAGGTATATATATTCATGCCTGCCTGCATTCATTCATTCATTCATCCATTCTTGCATTTATTCATTCAGCAACTGAATATCCCTCCTACTGGC